TTCTTAGTAAAAGATCTTCTTAAGCTAAGAGCGATCTGGGAAATGTGTTTTTCTTTCACGGGAGGCTTAAGGGCGTTCTTAAGAAGCTCTTAGTGCTAAGAGCCATCTGGGAAGCACCACCAACATAAGTATACTTGAGTAAAGCCTTAACATGCAAATACATTGAATTTGATTGTAGCCGGGAATGAGTCTGCCTAGTTAGTTAGCTAGCTAGCTTCTGTGGTTAAAAAAAAAAAGGCAGGCACTGATCAAAATAATTCTGCTAGCTAAACTAGAAGACAGTCTGGAACATGCATGAGCTGAAGTCAGTTGAATGATTGAACAGCGCATGTTCTAGAGAGTTCAGCTTGGTAATTTGTGTGAAGTAGGACTACAGCTGAATTAATGGTTATAGCAAAGTAGCCTAGTTCAATACTGTGCCACCGGTATCAAACAGGCTTGAGAGCTAATAGCTGGCATTTAAATGTAGATGTGTTATTACTGATTTCAAAGCAAGTTTCAGTATAAGAAGCATAGTTGGCCTACTGAAATACTGTAAGTAAATACATTTTTAATGATCATTATCATTACTGTTATTATGTTGGAAATAAACCATCTTTTTGTACCCTTTATCTCACTCTGTCTGCATAATTTGACCATGACTTTGACCTAAATGCATTTTCTTGAATTCTGGTGATTTCAAAAGAATCATCAACTGAATGGGCACCCTAAATTAAGTTGGAAATGACACCTTAAATGTTTTTCAACTGTTTGGTTCCCGGGCCTCAGAGGTCAAATCTTACTTCCCTCCGCATCTGAAAATAAACCTTATGGTATGTACTAACTATGGTGTAAATTTCATGCTTTTTTCAAAAAGTGCAAAATTTATCTGCTAATCCGCTGTACTAAAAAGCAAAAGTGTAAAGAATGGGTCAGACAGTGTTTCTCTGCTCTAACAGGCAGGGGTGCGGCCACCGGGTTGGCTGGGGCTGGCACCGGCTACCCCTGGAATATGATTGGCCACCCTGCCTGGCCACCCCCACCAGAGCTGTCAATCAGTTTGTTCGAGTTTGTGTTGTGATGATCTGCAGTAGGCCTATTGTAATTCACACTGACTGGAAAGCATTGCTTTTGTAGACCAAAATATACAAATATAGACTATTTGGGTCCGTGGGCTCAAACAACATGTAAGTCTTAATGACAAAATGTGTCTCTCTGACGTAATTTGAGGGGGGGGGGGGCGGCACAGGGGACATGTCCCCCGCATTTCCCGTATCTGTGCCCTCCGTCCCCCGCACTTTTTTTTACAGCCGTTACAACCGTTCAATTCATTTTTAACATGTGGTAACGTGTTTTTCCGTGCCGTCTTTAAACGCACCATGAGTAGGAGGTGCCAGGCGCATACACACGCTGTCATGTTGTGATCAGAATCAATGGCAAACAGATGAGAGGTGTGGTGTTGGACAGTGCCGCTATGTTCAGCAAACCAGCCAGCAAGAAGCAAAAACCCTTGCACAGTTTCTTCCAAACAAATCGTGTAAGTTGAGTAATGCTGTTGCATGTAGATAATGTTAGCTAAATGATGACTAATTAATAGATGCCAATGTATCAAGTTAAGCTAGTTAACAAGAATACTAATGTTATTGTTACCTATGTTATATCGCTTGCTAGCTATTGCTTTGCACATATTTTTTTAATCTTTATTGCCACAATAGAAAGATCAGGGTCAGGGAGGAGACAGTGGACAAGAGGCCAGCAAGGATGATCATGCAGGGTTCTCACAGATGAGAAGAGAATATAACTGGCTGAGAAAAATATCTAGAGCATAAAAGTGACTTTGCGATCAATTTCCACAGCTATGTCACCATTATTATTCTTAATCCTATTATAAATTTTGCTTTCCACATTTATTATCTATATTATTGCAATAGATAGAAGAGGGACAGGGAGAAACCAGGCAGGTATACCTGGAACACCTTTGTGCTAAAACTGGCCTTGTGGCGCATTAAGACATGTACACTAGCCACTTACTTCATTAAAAGGATGCTCTATCTAAAGCTAAATCAACACATTATCCACATTTAATCCAGTCATGTGAAGGCAACACTCTATTCGTTTATGAACGTTTTTACTGCCAAAATTGAAAATATTCACCAGCAACTGACCACATTTAACAATACCAACTACAGTTCACCTGATTTGCTTTTCTGTGCTCCCCCCCGTGCCTTCCCTATCTAGTTTTAAACTTCCAACTGTTGCTGAAATATCTGGTCTGATTCGTAAATCCAAATCATCTACCTGCCTGTTAGACCCTCTTCCGACAAACCTAGTTAAACTCCGTCTTCCTCCTTAATAACTGTGATTGTTCATTCCGCCCTTACCTCTGGTCTTGTGCCCACATCTCTCAAAACTGCTGCTATAACTCCAATACTAAAGAAACCTGGTGCCGATCCTAACAATTTGAGCAACTTCCATCCAATTTAAAATTTACAATTCCTCTCTAAAATACTTGAAAGATCAGTTGCAGCTCAGGTCCACACTCACCATAGCCATAACAATCTTCATTCATCATTCATCTTCTAACCGCTTCATCCTCTTGAGGGTCGCGGGGGGGCTGGAGCCTATCCCAGCAAGAGGCAGGGTACACCCTGGACAGGTTGCCAGACTATCGCAGGGCTGACACATAGAGACAGACAACCATTCACGCTCACATTCACACCTACGGACAATTTAGAGCTATCAATTAACCTAGTCCCCAATCTGCATGTCTTTGGACTGTGGGAGGAAGCCAGAGTGCCTGGAGAGAACCCACGCTGACACGGGGAGAACGTGCAAACTCCGCACAGAAGGGCTCCCACACCTGGGATCGAACCGGCAACCCTCTTACTGTGAGGCGACAGTGCTAACCACCACACCACTGTGCCACCCGCCATAACAATCTGTTTGAACAATTTGCGTGTGGTTTTCGCTCCTGTCACAGCACTGAGAAAGCTCTGGTCAAAATCACTAACGATCTCCTAATGGCAGATGACTCTGGGTTTTTAACTATTCTCGTTCTTCTGGATCTAAGTGCAGCTTTCCTAGGTCCCCTTCTATTTATCATTTACCTTCTACCTCTTGGCCTCTTGGACTGGAGAAGAGAGCTGGTGTGTTATACTGCAGGGTTAATTACTGGATGGTTCTCAGGTGAGCAGCATGGGAGCAAGTAAGTTGAATGAATATAATCGGGAACTCAGGAGAGTAAGGGAGTTGCCACGCCCAGAGCACAGACACACAGAGAGACAGACAAGGGGAGTGGAAAGAGGACAAGGAAAAACACAGGGAAACTAGTGACATGGCCAGGGCCGTAACGGATTTGGTCTGTTTACTAAAAGCTATATACCTTTACATGTAGAACAGAAAAGTCTAGAGACATCAGGCATTGATGACACAGTTTTTTCCTAATATAAAATGAAACAAGATGAAACAGATTAATGCAATTGTTAGTGAGGAGCCGGTGATCTTCATTTAGGGGTATTTATTACTCCAACTTTAAAGTGCAGCACAATAGACAGAGCATAGGGAATGGAGTGGGACTTCTGTAGGCTAACTCACACTGTGTGAGTGAATAGGTGTGTGTGGTTCTAAATGGGAATACAAATAAAGAATCTCAAATTAGCCTACTAATAAACATATCTTAGAATCAACAGAATAAAGCTAAAGCTATAAATGTAATAAGCGTATACAAGGAGTCCCCTGAATTACTTGGCTATGAATTACTATTCAGATCTATAGCAATACCAACAAGTATACAATATCTACACACAAGTATGACTAATGGCACATAACAGTGCATGCTAAATAACATTGAAACATCTGTCTACTCAATAACATAGGCTAATGCTGCCCTCTACTGGGCTCGGAATGAATCTATGGCTAAACGTGACTCTAACCATGCATCGTCATGTAGCTAACCATGTGCTAGCTAACATCGTTGGTAACTGAAAATTATGAACTAAACATCCAACCATGCTTCACCAAAGGCACACATGTACATAAAATGTCAGTCTCTGAACCCGGAATGCAGTCTTGGAGCTACTTCCACTCGACTGTGGCCTGACGTCTTCTCTGTCACTCCAACAGGAATCTCATTCACAACACACAGCAGTGAGTGAATGTGGAGGGGGCGGGCTCTCGGTCTGATCCTGATCTATAGGCCTTTCTTACAGCCTTTCTTATTTTTCTTATAGAAAAATACAAAAAAAACATTATATTCTGTGTTGATACAAAATAAAAACGAAATAAATACACCACAGTGAAGGCATATATAACCTAATAATGATAGTGATGCAAATAACCTAATTGTGATGCATGCTGCAAAATCTGATGCAGAGGGGGAGGGAATATCACATACGTACTTGGCGGAGGTCTGCACTCTCTGAGTGCTGTTTCTAGTTAATTTTTTAGTTTTATTATTCCAAAGGAATCGGATGAAAATAGATTTGATGTCTTTAAACCAACTTTGAGGAAATTTAAGAGGAATAGATGTTATAATATAAATCAGTCTTGGTAAAACATTCAATTTCAGTACTTCAACTCTGCCCCATAGAGACAGTGGTAAGGCTGTCCATCTGATGATGTCATCTTTGATAGACTGGAGGATGCTGGGGCCATTTACATTATTGACATTATTTTCTGTACTATAGAGTTTCGAGTAATAATTTTTAAAGGATTGATTTATTATAGCAGCATCACACTGTAACACACCAGTCTCATCTCTAATTGCAGGAATTAGGAACGATGTCCATACGGACAGAGAGAATAGATTCAAGAATTCAATTCAAGAGTTCAAGAGGCTTTATTGTCAGTTCTACAATTATGTAACAGATATACAGAGAACTGAAACAACGTTTCACTCTGAATTGATCTGATTTTGCCTCTGTGATGTGATTTTATCTTTATATTTAGTTTTGTTCTATTTATTCCTAAAGTTTGTCCTTCAGATCTCAATGAAATGAGGTGTCAGTCATGTGTGGCTGGTGAAGGGCACAGCATCCCTACTGGCTGTGATGAGTTAAGCTGCTGCAGACTGGGCAGCGGCAGGATTCCTGGCCAGGACAGCCGTTAATGTTGTGGGAGGGGCGGACAGAGCAGCAGCAGCAGCAGTCTGGGGTCCAACATCCTCTCTGCGAAGGCTGACTGCCCCTCTACTTTAAAAACCTGCAGACCCCAAATCTTTTCCATGTGACATCAGACGGACTTTTCATAGAACAGGAAGCGGCAGGGCGAAGTAACATTAAAGGGGACATCGAATTAACGCGGAGGCTGTTTCTGTGGAAGTTTATTTCCCTTTTTTGGCCCGGTATTCCCAGTAAACCAGGAAAATTGCTTGGTGTAGCTGTATCGGTGAGAAGGCTCGGGAGGAGGTGAAACTGCGGGATATGATGACCGAGAAAGAAACGGCGACTGAGAAGATAATATCAGGTAAATAAGCTCCAAACTGTTGGGTGGTAGCCTAGTTTTCACTAACTTAGTGATCATTTCTGAAATCAGTCAAGGATGCAGTTTGTAACGTTACCTCGGTGTGGTCGTCTGTGGGACGGTTACATTTCTGTGGTCAGTGAAGGCTGCAGACACAACATAATGTTGAATTCATATTCTTAAAGTCTTCTCGACACCTCAGTTGCTGTGCAGAGAGGCTGTCTGAGCTATGAAGCGCTGTCTTGGCTTCCCAAGGGCAACCGCAATGTAACGTTACAGGACCTCGCCTACTGGCCTGCACCGAGTAGCGGTGCCCAGAAAAACATGGCGATATCACAAGTTTATTAGTGTGGCTCGTGTTTTCCGCCTGCAAGCAGGCTGGGCTCAGTGCTGCAGGTTGTTCCCAGTTGGCTGGAGAACGGATGCGGCTCAGCCAGGTCCTCCATAACGGTGCAATTCGGTCACATGACCCGTCCCACGGTAGTTGTGACTCAATGCAGCAAAAAGTCTGCACCATGTTCTCAGGTAACGCAGTGTTCACCATCCGCCCTGATTGCTGCGCAGAGCTGCTGTCTGGACAGGGTAGTCCACTGAGGTGCGTCTCAAATCAATGTCGTAAAAGCCTTTGTATGTGATATAGGCTATGTTTGTCTGCTCGAGTTATTAGCTTACTTACCCCCGTCAAAGGTACATACCGTACTGTAATGATAGTGCGAACCACATTTGAATATCTTTTGTTTTTGCTACTCGCTTGATCGAAAGCGACAGACATTACTAATCATCATTTAAGATCTTTTGCAAATACTCATACTGTACACTTAGGCGTACATTTAATACACCAAGAAGCGTTTAATAATGTTTCAAATTTTAGGTTTCACATCACAAACCACTGTGGATGGTAATAGAGAGCAGTGTGCGCCACTCCCACCAAGTAGGCTAGCTATACAATTTTAAATACTGCCAGATGATTCACTACATATGATGACACTTGTAGTTGCTTATAGGCCTACTCTTTTTTTCTGACATCATACCTCTGTGCAGACTTTAAATAACAAGGTTTAAATGTGGCAAGACTTTTAGGAGTTAGGTTGGTTTGAAGTTTTTTCTAGGACTAATCTTTCTGGGGGCTTGGCAAGGCTCCTGCGTTATGTAATGTAACTGATTGAGTGCCACAGAAAGTGCACCCTGATGATGTCCTGCAGGGATATGATCTAAATACCAGACTTTGTGTGACTTAAACTCCTAAAGCTCAAAATTGTTGCTTGTGTTTGAAAGGTAAACTTCTGACTAGTGGGTCAATAGTCATATTGGAGGGATTGCAGATACCAGCTCTGTACTCTGTCTCAACTCTGTTGTCAGCCACAAGGACATGCTGTTGCCTGGATTTTATTATCATATACATATATTGTGAAGGCAGAGCTTTTTAAATGGTGTAACATGAGAGATTATCACAATGCACAGGTGCTGTGTGTGTGTTCATGTGACGAAAGAAGTTGCATGTGGCACCCTATAGGCCTATAGTCTGAAGATAATTGTATGTTGCTCTGTGGTTTTTAAAAACTAAGCCAAGTCCAAACTATTATGTGCCCTTTTTTCCAACATGTTTGGTGGTTAGGTCCTGCCTCTGTTGTGATGTTTGTTCCTTACCCTTTTTTTTCATGCAATAATATCTTTGTTGAAAAATTGACGGAAAGAGATTGATTGAGAGAATGAACACAGTTTACACCTTCTTAAGAGTTCAAACATTGTTGCAGTTTCACACAGAGATTGTGCTATAGAGCCACTACTATTCTTTATGCCTGCTTTGCAATTTCAATAGTAATAGTAATAAGAGTAGTAGTAGTAATAATAATAATAACACTAAATGAATAAAGGAAAAACATTATATTAAAAAAAAGTGATAGAAAAATTAAGTTCAAGTAAAACAAAAACAGTGTGGCACTAGGGAAGGCAAAATTGGACAGTCAAACCAGTTTTTACTGTTCTGTTAACTTCAATAATAGTTTCTTTTTGAATATTGCCAAGGAAGAAGAGCTGTCAGCCAGTTGGTGATGTTCATTCCACAACAAAATCCCTCCATATTTGATGGTATACTGCCCTCTATACTGTGTTTGGAAATTGTCTTGTGTGTACAGTAATTCAATTGAGTGCCTTAATTTATATATATATATATATGTGTGTGTGTGTGTGTACATATATTTATATATACATATACTGTTTACACATATTTTATATTTTTTAATCTTTAATTTTCTTTTATTCAAGTAATATTGTCACCCTCCATTTTCTGTCTGTGCTTTGAGCTGCTGTGACGTGAATTTCCCAAGTGTGGGATTAATAAAGTTTTATTTTATCTCTTATCTTATCTCTGGTGGTATTGCAGTGGGGTCGGTGCAGGTGACCTGCTTGTTTTGTTGCATGCTGATGCAAACTTGAATTTATGTGAAAGTATTGTTGAAATTGATTTGGTAGTACATGACTTTGGTGGATTGCTTTGTAGATGAAGATGCAGATGTGGATGATGTTAACATCAAATGTAGTTGAGATTTTCAATTTGGAAAACAGTGGAGAGGATGGGGCCCTGAAATTTGAGTTTGTGGCAGTTCTAACAAAGCGTTTCTGGAGTAGTTGGAGCTTATGGAGATTGATGGGATAGGTGTTAGCCCAGACGAGATTGCAGTAGGTTAGGTATGGATATATTAAACTGTAGTATAATGTGAGCAGACTGGATCTGTTGAGGAATGAACTGATTTTCCTGATAATTCCAAGAGACTTTGACACTTTTTTGCAACACAGTCAATTCATTCTTTCCAGTTGTGTTGTTCATCCACCATAACACATAAAGAGCGGGCAGAGGATACTCTGTGAATTTCATTGTCCTCAATGAAGAGCTTTGCTTCATTCGGGTCGTATTTTTTCCTTCCTGAGAATAAGATGAAGTTAGTTTTTTAAATATTTAGTGTTGAAAGACACTAGAGTTGGTCTGAGCATATACATTGTCCCAGGAAAGATCACTAAGAAATTTTTTGAAACAAGCAAAGTAAATTGAACAATTGGAAAATGATCAGTGATATCAGAAAAACAAAAACAAAGAAGGCAATAGCATGTTTTAAACAGTGCAAAAAATACATTACAAAAAAGAAACAGACAACAAATATATCCACACAGGGTCCAAAACTAACTTTTTCACTTACCAGCCAGGCTGGCTGGTAAGTGAAATTTTTTACCAGCCAGGCAGATATTTTACCAGCCAACCAAATAATAATAATGATTTAAAGGAAAAAAAGTCAAGTCACTTAATGCTGCCGGTGGATGAGACTGGGGGGTGGCGGCGGCGGGAGCAGCAGCAGCAGCAACATTAACCTCCGTCTCTTGGTCGTCGGTCGGTAAAATCTCAGCCTCAGTAGGTTCTTTTGCTTTAGTTTTTTGTTTTTTTGCGGGAGGCTCTGCAATACCTGGCCAGCATCGCCACATGATACTTTTTCTTACTTCTTCTTCTTCTTCTTCTTCTTCTTCTTCTACGGGGGTTCAGAGCATGGAAGTACATTAACAATAGGTTCGTTTGAGATGAGCCAGGCCTGCGCAGATTCGATCACCGGCGATTGGCGCACAACGCATGCCGGTTAGTTTTGTGTCCGACTTCATCCCGACTTGCTCTGACGTATTACACAAGTGGACGGTGATAAAACCACGAGAGCAAGGCGGCCGCAGTTTTTAGAGCCAGGTGCTGCATTTGCAGCACCGCCTGGCTCTCACCTGATCTAACAGCTGATTGGTTTAGATGTCGACTCAACAAGATGACGTTTTAGATAAACTATTCATTTTTGATGAATTTTAGAGATTAAGATTGTATTTGTCTGATTTTGTAACAGAAAACTTGTGTGACTGATGGTGAAGTTGAGTTGTCAGAGACTAAATAGGCCTACATTCATCATAAACTATACAGAGTCTACTGTAATATTGGACTTTTTTAATTATTGAAGTATTTAGCAACACAGAGACTTGTGGTCAGTGGGATGTGAGGATTCTTAAACTAACATCTGTACAGATGTGAAGCCCTGACTGTATCTGACTGATCTTTAATGAAAGCTGTTGTCTTGTATTTTTTTTCCTCTGAAAATATGAACCTTATATTCAAACACAGTTTATTTAGCCTGTGTAGTTGAGGGGACAGGTCAAACTGATATGATGCTGATTTACAGGAGAATTCATGTCAAATGGAGGATAAACCATGAACATAAACTACAGATCACCTGTAAAACATTTTAATAAATTAATCTATCATAATTAAAACAACTGGAGACTGAAAACAAACTGACATATGGGTCTGATCACTTTTTTAATGAATTGACATCATTCCAGAGAGGATGTAAGTGTTTCTGTGATTTCCGGTATGCACTGAAGGCTGCTGGAAACTGTCGGGAAACTGTTTGAGTTCACCGCGGCTTTTTGTCACCGCCCCCCGCTGCGGCCGCCTGCTCTCGTCTATTTTCTAGGCGAGGTGCAGTTCATCTCGAACGAGCCTAACAACAGCTATCCACCTCGGCGCGCTGTGATGACGTCATGACTGACGCACTTACGTGACCAAAGATCGTCTCTGCCTGAAATACACATTACTCTGCCAGGAAACCAGCCGATACCAGCATCGTTCTCCACTAACAAAAAATGCATTTTTCACTGGTAAAAAAATAACTCGCCAGAGTTGGGAGTGGTCTTAAAAATTTACCAGCCAGAGACAAAATCTACCCGTAATTGGCGAGTGGCGAGTGTTAGTTTTGGAGTAAAAGCTTTTCCTAGTGTAATAATCAGCAGGGTGATCAGCTGGAGCCAGGATGCCAATATGGGTCCCATCTATAGCCCCTGCAACCTGGGGGAATCTCCATTTGTCCCTGAATCCCTGGACGATCATCCTTAGCTCAGCATCAGATGGGGTTTTGATGTAATGGTGCTGCATGACCCGATTAATGGCTGTTACAACCTCCTGTTATCCTGCTTGTATAATA